GTGCATTTAAGAAAGCGAGGTGATGATCATTAGGGCTAACCATCATATTCAAAGTAAAATCGAAACAAAATTTTTTTCAACATGAACAAACTTTATTATTTATTAAAAAAATTGATTACTGGCAATCTTAACTGTCACACAAGAAATCCATCTCCAAGAACATCAATGGAGGGCATTTCAGCAGCCAAGGCTAGCGGGGACATTGTTAGAAATTCGGGTTTTCGATTGTTTGGATTCCACTGAAAGCCGTGTAACACTTTCAAATTGAAGTATTTCGATAGTACAATCGAAATTTCAATCGAATAAAATCAGTGGTTTTCGAATAACGAATCGATTGTTATGAATCTGTGTACCTCTTCAACATCAAAATGACAAATTCGAAATTGAATACGAAAACTGTCAAAACCGGCAGTTTTTGAACCCTAAATCGGGTTTAAAAACCGGGCCAAAAACCGGGTTTAAAATTTTAAATTCGGATTTTTGAAGCATTTTTCACAAAGCATTTTAAATTCGACCCCAGCCAGGGGCTCTACCCCTTAGACCCCGCCACCGGAGGCGCTGCCCCCCGAACCCCCGTCGTTTAGGGGTAAATCAAAATAAACTCAAACAAATATGCACTCCGCACTTTCCTTACTTGTTCAATATTTATCATAATACATTGGTCAACAAATTAAACTCATTACACTTAAATGATATTAGTGATACAAATCACCAACAGGCATGAGTCGAACTTCAGGCATGTTTTATATTTGGATAAAGTCGTTCCACCTATTTATCAACCGAACTACACACAAAAGGTAATTAACTCTAATTATTATTGAAAAAAATAAGCAAACCAAGTTAATGGGGGCGGTATTTTTAATCTTCTTTTTGCCATATGTTTGGATATCAATATATAAAATACCCGGTTTAAATTTAATAAATTGCAAATCGTTATCCATAAAATATAAATATAAATATAAATTACATAATGTTAAGAACATGTCGATTTAAAATATTTTATAAACATAAATAATTAGAATTTTATCACGAAATAGTGAGTGAGTCATACTAGTGATGAATTCTGATATGGACAAACATGCAATTAATAAAAAAAATTAAAGAATTTTAGTATAAAATTGCTCCCATGCGTCTAGCGCTGTAAACGAATCGAACGTTCAGCGAACCGTTCGTCGAACCGTTCGGCGGGAAGTTCGTTTATTTAATAAATGAACGGACATGAACAATTTTTTTTGTTCGTTTAGTTAAACGAACGAACATGAACAATAGTCTTGTTCATTCATTTATGTTCGTGAACGTTCATTCATTTACCGTTCGTTTATATTCGTCCATTTATATATTAAATTTATTATACAATCTTTTGTTTATTTACTTTGAATTTAAATAATATTTATTTATGTTCGTTTAGCCCGTTCGTTTATGTTCGTTCGTTTACGTTCGTTTAGCATGTTAACGAACGAACATAAACGAACATAAACGAACACGAACACACCTGGTTTCTAAACGAAAGAATACGAACACAGATATTTTCGTTCGTTTACCGTTCGTTTGTTTGTTCGGTTAAGTTAAACGAACGAATATGAACAAGCCTCTATTCGTATTCGTTCGGTTCATTTACAGCCCTAGATGCATCTATTAAACAAAAAACTATAATTACTTTGTAATTCTTTTAATGTTTTCTACCTCCTCCATTGTACTTAAAAGGCTGTGCATTTATTTAATGTTATATGATAAATAATTGAATATTATGACTTTAGATCATAATAAATATTTTAAAGCACATGGAAATGTAAGGTAGCTTATTTCGGGTTGGTAGTCTACTCTCAAATGGGGATTTTATAAAAAGTTACAATCCCCACCGCGGAATAGCGCTAAATTGATCTGGAACATCTTTATTCCCACTGAGCATCAAAGTGCCTTCTACTCCTTGGCATTCACGGGTCGGGATCCAATTCTCTTATAGAAGAAATGGATTTGCGAGTGCGAGAGAATGAGACTGCTACACAGGTAAAGAATCGAAGACAGTCTCTAGAGTGTTCTTTTAGTTGTTCGAATGAAAATTAATGATTGAAATATTGATAACGTACGTATTGAGGAAATAAATATATAATTATTAAAAAAATATTTAAAATATTTATTTAATTATTTGATTACAAATAAATAAAAAGAGAATAACATTTTCAATGAAATTAGAGTAATGGTTATTCAAGTTACTAGTAATGTATGGTATTATAATTTATAATTTATAATTTATAATTTGAATGGACAACTAACATGACTAATTAAGTATATCAGTAGTTGATTAGGTTTTAAATCAAGAATTCTTCCATTACAAATCCTTTCTTCGAAAGGAAGGGATAACTGTAGACCCTAATTCTGTCTGAATATATTTCTGTAGTTTATAAATTCCAGTTAAGTCAAAATGTATCTATTTTAGTTAAAATTCAAACTACATTTACTTATATTGTGATATGATAAATCGAGTATGCATTCTTTCTTGACTACCACATTTATGTACTTTAAGATCAAGAAAGTGGGTTTTGTGTCTTGCTCAAAATCTAAATAAAAAGTACGAGAATGATGAGAGATCACTGTGTATAATCCACGAATTGTGCAAAACAGTAGGGGACCAATGGTCATAGTTGACAATGGAATGAATAGTATAAAAATAACAATAGACCTAGGGAGAAGTAATTCGACTACCAGTGAGATTCATGCATGCTACACTTTTTAGTTATTGGGAGAACCTAAGTACTCTCTTTCGGATTCAAGAAAGAACTCTCATAGATCCCCTATAAAATGAGGCATGGAAGAGAGCCACTATGAAGAAGTTCCAGGAGGTTTTAGACAAGTTTTTTTTGAAGTACATACCCGACCTTGGTTTTAGCTACTGATGAAAGGCAGCATCGGGGACCGAAAAAAGATGAACAAAGTTGATTATATATGTGTGCATGTGTGTGTATATGGGGTCAGGTTCAAACGAGAATAATGACCAAATAAGAAAACACGAGAACAGCCTAATCACATGTAATTTTACACTAAAATCGTGAGTAAATTCACATGTGATTAGCTTAACCTAGGTCGCAATCCACGACGTACGACGTTCGCACACCCCTGCGTTGACCATGTTCTTTAATCGCATGATTTCAGTGTAAAATCATATGCGATTTGGCCGTTCTTGTGTTTGACTATTTTGACATTATTCTCGTTTGAACCTCCTTCCTCCTCCTCCTCATCCTCTCTCTCTCTCTCTCTCTATCTCTCTCTCTCTCTCTCTATCTATCTATCTATCTATCTATCTATCTATCTATCTATATATATATATAGAACAAATCATATAGAAAACATGTATAAATTAGAAACTGTGAACACCAGTTTTATGTGTTTTTTTCATAGATGAAACAACACATATGAAAACCGAACCCATGAAAACCAACCAAAACCATCCAATGAGTTTATTTTTAAGCTATGTTTCATATTGTTTCACGTGTTCTATTCTTGTGTGCGAGTATGAGTGTGTGTTCATGAATAACACATTTTCGTGGTTTTTACACAAACAAAATATTCTTTAGCGTTTCATTTATGAAACTACACTAT